TTCTGACTTTAATAAGTTTCAAATTAATTATTAACGAAAATATAACATTTTCCATTGCACTAAAAAGGATATATATATTTGTTTATTTACAGCTTTGCACATTAGGTTGTAGTTGCAGAGCATCTGTTTTGCTCTTTCTGTCCTCACTGCTTTATCGGCCACTCCTGGACCAAAAAGGTCACTTCATTTGGAGCTTTTTGTTGAATCTGCCAGCAAATCTGTTTCTTACCAAGCTTTTTTCTAAACCACCTTTTTTTTTTATGTCCATCTCGACTCAAAACTTGTTTAATCCGCCAACTCTGGAGGTCAAGGAGTGAAACTTCTGTCAACATTTTGCTTCAACAGTCACATTTTAAGAAAAGAAGTAGAAAGGTGGGATGTGTTTTTGTAGCCTTTGTGTCAAAGTGTGAGAGATGCAGTCAAGGTTGAAAGTAAAGGACAGGGCTGGACCAGAATAGGGAACTGTTTTGCCAAAACAGAGTGCTACATAGAAATACAAGTAGAGAGGTTACAAGCCAATACTTTTTTTTTTTTTCATGAAAGGCATTTTTATTGCTGTTAATTGCAATTTTATTAGGAAAACACAGTGTAACAATAGTGTTGCTATGGCTTTAAAATAACAAATTCAAAGCTTTAAAATGATTGATGTCCATGTAGAAGCTTTTCTTCCTGAATATTCCACCTTTTACTTTCATTGTGTTTCTTTCTGGCCTTCCAGTTTAATATTCAATTCTCCGTAAGAGCTCAGACGCAGAGCTGAATTTAATGTTGCGACATCAGCTACCTTCTTGCATCTTCCCCAGTCAATGTGGCAACTTGTTTTGTTTTGGAGAACTGAATCTGCCATCCGGGTGAGAAACCCCTCCAGGTTGTTTTCAGTCTCCCTGCTGTTTTTTTTTTGTTTGTTTGTTTTGTTTTTTTACTATAGATGAGGGTGGGACTAAAGAAAAAAACTAATTCTTCTTGTTGAGTGAAGAGTAGTTAAATATACAGCATTGAAATGTTAAAAATGTAGAACCTGTGAATACAGAGAATAATATGTCCAATTTAAGGTTTAGCATTTATTGAAGGAATGTGTGTTGCCTGCTGCTTTTCATGCCCGACTTTTAAACTGGGATCAAGATCCCTGATCATGATCATGGTCAAACCTTGTCAGTGATGATGTTCGCAATCTCAAATAATATTTTAAGAGCTTACATTCAGAATAATGTGTTGAGGGTGACGCAGATTTAGCTTAATATCTGTAGGTCATTTTTGTGTTTGCTAAAGTCCCTGTCACGTTATAAAGTTTTAAACTTATGTTGGCGTGTGGTGTGAGTGGTGGCGCAGAGATTAGAAAAGGTGAGACCGTGATCAGAAGGTCGCCAGTTCAATCCCCCGGAACAACAACCTTAAAATGTGAGTGGGAATAGTGAAGCACATACACCTGCTTCCACCCTCATTTGCCCCACTCTGTGCCCTTGAGCAAGGCCCTTAACCCCAACCATCTGCTCCCCTGGGTGCCCTAGATGGCAGCTCTTTGCTCTACACAGAGGGCTATGGTAGCTCGGTGGTCTGTGGTTGCGTCATGAAGGGCATCCAGCGTCAAAACAATTGCCAAACAATTAAATTTTTCATGTGAGTTCACTGTGACGACCCCTGAGGAAGGGAGCAACAGAAATAAATAAACAATGCCTAATATCAGCAGCACGTCGGCATACGCTGATGCCATATGTCACTGTTAAGACTGACTAGCTGTGGCAGCCATCTTGAATTGGAGTGACTTCAAATGTAAATTAGTTGTAGATGTGCATCCAATAATTAATAAGTTTTACGAAAATCTATAAAGTGGTTGGTACTGGAAGACTTTGTTTTGTTTTGCTTTTTGTTTTTGTTTTGTTTTTTTACACAATGATACCTCGTCCTTTATTTTTGTTCCTTTAAAGAAAATGAGAAATGTTGGGCCAAGGTTTAGTCCCTCGCTACTTCGCGGCTCATTTTTCACGGACTTGCTCTATCTCGGGTTTTTTTAAAGATTGGACATGACACACAACTGGCTGATCGATGGATGAACCACACGATTGACATGGAATCTTTATTTAAAATAAATTATTTAAAATTATTTAGCACCTGCTGCATCTTTGTACAGCCCAAACTGCATGATAAGCTTCCTCCTGCAGCTAATCAGCTCATCTCCGTGCAGAGCGGAGAAGTGGGCGTGGTCGAGATTGCATGCAGGTGGCTGAGTGCAGCTGGAGGCAGAGAGCTGAATTCATGACATTCTGTGCTCTTTTAGAGCGGTTAAAGTTTAGAAACATTTAGAATATTGCAAGAGTGCATGTGTATATATATATATAATTACTAAAATAAACTACTACTTGTACTATTATCCCTTTGCGTTTTTTCACTTATCCCGGGGCTTCAGGGTACGGATTCCCCGTGATAAACGAGGGACTATTGTACAGCTAAGTAGTTCTCAGCTTTGAAATAATTTTTGATCACATTTAAACAAAACATCTAAAGTTATCAAAGTTAATCCACTCTTTCTTCCTGCTAAACATAAGATATCAAGCCCAAATCATCCCAGTTTATTTCAGAGTGATGTAAATTGGGATGGGAACAGCAGTAACTCTGCACTCCAAGCCTTTCTCCCACAGATAAGTAGAAATACAACATCCTCAGCGTTCCAGTGATTATTTGGTTCACTCCTCGTAGACCCCACTAATCACATTCATCATGGATGAGAAGCCTGATCTATTGGAGATTAGATCAGTCAACACTCATCTGTGTTGAATAAATGATTTCTGCATTTCTTTTTGCAGTGCAGGGAACCTTCCACATGAGTGGATTTGCAATCACATTGTTGCCAAAAGGATTTCATTTTCATGCCAGGGACGGTTTGATTTTAACATTTATCTAACAAAAACTGATTTGAACATACCGCTCCAAGTTATTCATGCGTTAAGCTTTATTATCTTTTAAGCCACAAGTGTTGTTGTTAAAATGTGACAACTGAATTTTGCAGAATCTATTTTTAAAATCGGGTCTTGTGATAAAAGTTTTCATACAGATTTTGAAGTATTGTGAAGTTAGGACCCTTATTATTATTCTGAGTACAGATGTTGTTTATGGGGCTGTGTGGTGACTTATCCTGTGGGGGGTCGAGGGAGGGGGGGGACAACAAGGGCGGTGAGAATGTCCAAGGACGCTCCCAGAGAGTTCTGATAAGGATGGAATAATCAGCCAGATCCCTCTGGTGAGATCTGTAAACGTCCTCAGGGGATCCAACATTTTTCAGTCAGGTCATCTGGACAGTTTCTTTTTTTTTTTTTTTGTGCTGAAACGTTTCGCCTTCGATCCGGAAGGCTTCGTCAGTCAAGGAAACGCACAACAAAACTGATTCTTCCTCCAACAGCTTACTCCAAAGTGGGACAAACCAGATTACAAGCAGAACTGGTTTGTTCCACTTTGGAGTAAGCTGTTGGAGGAAGAATCAGTTTTGTTGTGTGTTTCCTTGACTGATGAAGCCTTCTGGATTGAAGGCGAAACGTTTCAGCACAAAAAAGAAACTGTCCAGATGACCTGACTAAAAAATGTTGGATTTTATACCTGGATTATTGAGCATGGACTTTGTTATTCTCAGGGGATGTCGAGGAGTGGCCAAGGACAGCGCCAGTGAGAATCCAAGAGTCCTGAAATGATGACACAATGTTTATTCAGCTTGTTCCCCCTGGTTGGTCCTGGACTTCCTTGTTGGGAGGGAGGGGGGACAGAGCGTCAGATTACAGAGCCTCCAGGTGAATTGAGATAAGATGACCTGCAAGGCCAGCCGAGGGAGGCAAATTCAGATTAACAACGTTTGTTTTGGAGACAGGCAGAACTTTCCTGAATTTTATCTGCCTTGAGTCTTTGCTGGTCTCATGTAGATTCCAAAATGTACAAATTAAGTGGACACACCACTGGTCTGTGCCTGAGGATATTCCCAGAGGTTTAGTCCATCCTGCCATTGAGTCCTAGGGGCCGCGTATGGCCTGCGATTCTCAGAAATCACATCCAGTTTGCGATCCAGTCCGCTAAGCAATTGAGTCTGAGTGCTCGAGACATGGAGCAAACCTTCACATAGGCGGCAGCCTGACCAGTCCAGATGAGCTGCAGCCATCTTCTTTGTCTTGATAAACCAGGAACCAGACTATTCCAAAAAGCAGGAAACCTGTTATCGTGAATCCAGTTATATATGCAATTTCAGCATCCTCGATCAACAGCAAAGATTGACACATCACATTCTACTTCCCCAGAGACATGTCCAGCTGCATACATGTGGTCCAGGAAGTTCAGCTCACCTGAAGCTTGACTCATCGTGAGAACAAATGTTGTCGACTGCGTTGAGACCAACTGACCAGATCTATAAAATTACGGTTCGGAAGATATGTAGAGAGGCTCAGAAGATAGAAATAAAAATTGTATTATTGTACGGCTACTTTTCCCCATTGATTTTCTTGCATTGTTTAAAAATAAAAACACGTATTTCAACTTGGCTTGAAAAAAGTTTTAGAAAACCAACCTGTTTTTTGTGGTTGCATAATTATTAACTCAAACTATTTCCATCTCTTGAATAAATTTCACCTTTTCTCAGGAAGCTAAATTTTTGTTTTGAGGCAGATTAATTTAATTTTAATTTTTCTACATAAATGTCCGTGTACAAAATTTCATTTAGTTTTATTCCTAACTTGTTTTTGGCCCGATGAGGAATCACAGTTTGTTGTTTAAATCTACTCGTCAGCTTTATATTTTTCTTCCTACAGTTTAAAATCTTGTGTATTATTTTAATACATGCTTTATTCAGTTTTGTGGGGTGTTTTCTTAGCAATCACCTGAGATAATCTGACCACACCGAATCCTCTCACCCGGTCCAAGCACCCAAACAGTTATCTAGAGAATAAAGCACACACAATTTGAGGACTGAACACATCTCATACATGCAGTATCTCAGTTCATTCTGTTCTCCTGTCACCTCTGAACAGACCTTCCTCCTCCAGCCACAAGAGAACGCCCCCCAGGATGTAAGACGGTGTTTGTTGGTGGTCTACCAGAAAACTCCACCGAGCAGCTCATCATGGAGGTCTTTGGACAGTGTGGTGATATCACAGCTATACGCAAAAGCAAGAAAAACTTCTGCCATATCCGATTTGCCGAAGAGCCCACAGTGGATAAGGCTCTCTTCCTGTCTGGTAAGATGGCAAAACTAATAAATTATTCATTTCATTTCATCCATTATGCACTGACTGACTGTATCACATTTTACCGTCACTCTGTTCTTCATAGTAACACTTCGGTGAACAGTGAACTCTTTACATATTTTACATTAACAGTATTCTGTCACCGAGTGTTTGTTTCAAGGCCATTTCTTTGATTTGAAAATGCAAGTTTGTCAAAATATCTCTCTTAATTAAAAACCATTAAATCTGAACAGCCATTATAGAATTTGTAGCATAAAGTGAAAGTGTAAAAAAAAATTCAAAGAAAATCATCTTTGAACTGAATAATCTTTATTTGATTTTATTTTTTATTGAACCATGATATCATGGTGTGGCTGTAGCTGAGTGACTAGAGCAGTCATCCTCCAATGCAAGAGTTGGGGGTTCGATTCCATCAGCAGTCACATGCTGAAGTGTCCTTGAGCAAGACACTGAACCCCTCATTGCCTCTGATGTGTGTGCCGTCAGTGTATGAATGTGATAAAGCACTGATTATTCTTTGTAGAGATCTAGTAGAGTGCTGTATGAATGGGTAAATGAGTGCACAGATTGTAGTGTAAAGTGCTTTGAGTATCTTGATCAGATAGAAAAGTGCTATATAAGTACAGTCCATTTACAATTTACCATGATAGAACAAACCAGATTTATGTTATTATCAGAGTAGTAATAGCTGAACATTATTGCAGACTGTGCCAAGGCAAGCTTCTTTGGAAAGCATTTCAAATACAAAATTGAAATTACTCAAACTTATGGCAGCTTCTCTATAGCATTTAACGTTTATATTGCTAAGAACATTTTGAAATGGGAAGTGAGATCTAGGAAAGCACAAAGAAATGTGCCCAGTTTTTAACCAGTACAGGTAAAAAAGAGCACATTACACCGGTTTTGGCCTTCCTTCCCTGGCTCCCGGTTCACTCTCAAATTCGTTTTAAAATCCTTCTGTATGTTTTCAAATCTCTGAACCGTTCTGCCCCCTCCTATCTCGCTGATCTGCTGCAGCCATATGTCCCACAGCGCTCTCTGAGGTCAGCAGACCAAAAGCTTTTATTGGTTCCAGTCACTTGTTTTAAGCTCAGAGGTGACATGGCCTTCTTTGTTGCAGGTCCAAGACTGTGGAATGAGTTACCACTGCGTGTCAGACAGGCTCCCTCAATTATTGTTTTTAAGTCTTGTTTAAAAACTCACGTTTATTCCCTGGCTTTTGACACTGTATGAGTTGATTTTAGCTTGTCTGTATTCTATAATGTTGGTCATTTAGTTCTTATCTTTACCTATTTGGATCTATGTGTTTTGTCGTGTGTCCTTTGCTTGTTTTATTTTGCTGTACAGCACTTTGGTTGGCCTTGTTGCTGTTTTTAAGTGCTTTATAAAGAAAGTGGTATGTTATGGTAAATGTTTTTCTATTCAGCTACCATAACTGTTTGGAATTCAGGACCTTAATAAGGTAGGAACAGTGATAAATCTCTGAATCCAGCAAAACCTCCTGCAAGCTCAAACTAAAGAAAAATACATGACCAGTAATTTTAAAAGAGAAAAAGATTTACTACTAACCATTTTGTTGCAGACTGTGTTCTTATCTCATCTTCATGTGGAGCAGGTAAACTGATCGCATCCTCCGTCTTCCCTCTGCAAACTGATGGCCACTCATCCTGGCTTTTAAAAAAAAAAAAAAAACACTTAGCTGAGCAGTCATCTCAGAAATGTCCCCCAGCATTATTGTGTTTTCATACATGTGCAAACGCATGCGAGAGAGAGTCTGTTTAAATGAGAGATCATTTGATTTTGACTGCCTCCATTCTTACAGTGAGATGTGGGAGCAGAGGTCCATATATTAGAGTGATGACAGAGCTGTGTAGTTCCCCCATAAATAATACCCCACCCACACACACACTGAGCCTGGGCAAACAACAATACGCAGCATTGACACACACTCCGACGGCTCCAGCACACCAACGTCTCTTCATATGAAATATTGAAGTAGTGGTAGATTAAGAGCCTGGAGCAGAGAGAGCAGACTGAAGTAGAAACCCCTGACTTTGCGCTCATTTTGTTTTCTGTTTGTGTTGGCATCCCTCACTGTGCCCCAACCCCATCTTTTCTTTCTTCATGTCCAAACACACACACACACACACACCCTGGACACACTCTGATCAGTTCAACCAATTAAATCTCATAATGGGGCAAGATTTCACTTCAGTCCACAACTAGCCATTAGTGAAAATTGAGTAAGAATGTTAGAGTAGGCAAAAGACAGAACTGCAGAGGAGAAGAGGGGTTAATGAGGATTATTGTGTTTTTTCGCAACCACTACAGAAGTAATTGGCCTCTCTAAGTCTCTCTTGTGTATTGACCAAAGGATGCAGACCTTCTGATCTGCACAAAAACATAGTTATTTTATTTTATTTTTTTAGAACATTTTAAGAAGAACAAAAGTCTGTTATATTGTTTGCTTCATTTTCTATAAAACGCATATAAAAGCCTCTCAATATAAGCAAACCGCTACTAATTAAGGTAATTTATGGTGAGATGTGCTTTGTTTTTAGCTATATGTTGTATTGAAGGTCAAATAAATTCACACCTGCAGACATAACAAAATCATTAAAAAAAATGAATTACTCCTTTTTTAAGACTTTGGAAAAAGTATTATTTAAGTTTAATTGCATAAAATCATTTGAATTTGAAAGTAGTTCAAAACTACAAGCCTTTGGTTCTCTGTACTGCTGCTGTCTCTAACATGAGTCCGTTTTATTTTGCTGTGCTCTCAGCTGTCCATTTTCTAAAACAATAATTGATGGGACATACTTTGCAACAATTAAGATTTTAAGATGTGTTTTTAAGTAAACCAGTAACCAAAAATGGACCAGTTAGAAATCATTGGCTAAAATGTTCAATTAATCCATTAGGATTTTACATTTTTACATGTATTTTCCTACCTTATGTCATTTCTAAGTGTCTGGAAGCAATGTGTCCACAGGCATTTTAATTTTTGGAAAATGCGTGATCTGAAATCACATACTGTAACAATCAAAAAGACTTCAATGCTTGTGGTTACCGTTTATCACTTTAGTCCACAAGTTCCCCTCCCGGTCATCTGATGCTCTCCATTCTTTTGACCATCCATTACATACTATTTCATGTCTTTCTTCCTTTTTTGTTTTCAATTTTTAAAGTGTATGTGTTCCTTTCCCCAGGATATCGGATCCGTTTGGGCTCCAGCACAGACAAAAAGGACACCGGTCGACTCCACGTGGACTTTGCCCAGGCCAGAGATGATCTGTATGAGTGGGAGTGTCACCAGCGCATGTTGGCCAGAGAGGAACGACACAGGCGCAAGATGGAGGAGGATCGCCTCCGGCCGCCATCCCCTCCGCCGATTGTCCACTATTCTGAGCACGAGTGCGGCCAGCTGGGAGACAAGATCAAAGGTAGACCTGGGTGGGGGCGACCTGTTAGGATTGTACGGTAAAATATTACATCAAAATAAACAGAGTTTAAAAAAAATAAAGAGTTTTCCTCCATCACATGTGTACCGAGACTGGTTACTTAAATTTGAACCCGTATAATCTTTATTTATGTAATTCTTAACTAGACATGGGAGGAAATAAAGGAAAAGGGTATCATGGGAAAAGTCCTTTACGCCAGCTTGTAACTCAGGCAAAGGAATGATTAGGTTCTAACAAACTCTGAGAGTTTCTTCTAAAAATGCTTCTCACAAAGGCTGTTTAACACAGTTATCAGCTTCCTCCATGCTCAACACTTGCTCTTATCTAGTCTTCTCCTCTCTGCTCGTCCTTTTCCATTTTTTTCTCCTTAGCCCCCCCCCCCCCCCCCTTGCAGCTTTCTGTCGAGTTTCTGGCCGAATAAACTTGTTTCACTAATGAGCAGTGGCACTTCCAGGTCTCAGTCACAGTTGCCCGATAACAACATGGCTGCGGCTTTCTGACTCTACCATCTGCATGTGTCTTTTTCAGTTTCCCCTCCTCTCTTGCCTCAGGAAAAAAAAATAAAAAGAACTCAAACACTTTGCTGTTTTAGCCAAGAAATTGTTTCTGATCTCTTTGGGCTGCGCTTCTGAACACCCCAGCTATTTGCTGCAGATAATAATCAATCAAAATCCACATGGAAACCGCTGGGAGACAATACAGCCACAGCCAGCCAGCGATTGGATTTAGTTTTAGATTTGGATTTAGTTTTTCTAAATGTTTACCCGTAGGGGAAAAAGATCTAGCTGTTTTACTGCCAGTTGTATTACAGTTCTCCAAACTCGGTTATGCTCGATGATGACAGGCCTCCTACAGTTTTAATGGGTTTTATAGCCTTTTTTGCCCCCAACTTGTCATTTCTGCCTGTAATGTTACTTTGTAAACAAATATATTTGACAGTTGTTACATTTAAAATACCCTTTTGCTATATCATCTAATAGCACATCAGTGCCATCTTTGTGTAATTTTTCATCATTTGTGTCATTCATTTACTTTTACCTTCTCTTTATATTGTCTCCTTTTTACTGAATAGGAGAAAAGTGCATAAGTTGTATTTATTCGTTCAAAGTGCTTAAATAGAAGAGTTTGCATGCTGTTTTTAAGTAATAAGTACAATACTAGAAAGTTCCTGGAGAAATTTGACTGGGACTAGGCCTATCGCGATAAACAATAAATCAATTAATCGCATGATAAATGAAAATTACCGACCTCATTTTCATTTATCGGCTTCTTTGTGTCTCTCTCTCTGCTGGACACTGGATGACAGAATGCCCCTCCCTTTCTCTTTTCGCTTTAAAATCTGTTTTAACCGTCCAAAATTGTGTTTTTGGATCGTTAAAAGCAACTAAGCTGAGAAGCTAAGCCACAAATTAAGCTAACAGGTCGACCTCGAGGAAAAATCCTTGGTCTTGTCAAAGCTCCAAAATTCACAGTTGAAACCTGTGCCTTCGTCTAAAAAGTTTTTTTTCTGCAAAAAGAAGCTGAGAACTTGTTTACTGATTTTTTTTATTAAAAGCTTTGTATGACAAATGTCATGCTACAAAGCTCAAAACATACCGAACGTCCTCTATTTTTAAAACTGAAAAACAAGAACTAGAGACAGCCCATGTCACGTCAAGGGACCTCCCTCCCATTTTTCTTAAAGAGACACACTGCTCGCGCCCTCACTATCATGAATCCTTCGATTCAAACAGTCTTTTTTTTTTTCATTTAGCCTTTATTTATACAGGTAGTCTCATTGAGCCACGAGAACTCATTTTCAAGTGAGACCTGTTTAGGGAGCAGAAGGGGGTTAAGAGCCTTGCTGATGGGCCCAGAGTGGGGCGAATGAGGGTGGGGGCAGGTGTGGGTGCTTCACCTACCCCACCCACGTTTTTGATGTTGTCGGTACCGGGGCTTGAACCGGCGATTTTCTGATCACAGGCCCACGTTCTCTAACCTCTGCGCCACCACTCCCCTTACACTGCCATCAAGTGGTCAAAAAAGATACTACAAAAATTTTTTACAATTTCTTCTTAAATTTGATAATAATTACTAATTATTGTCAAATTTCAAACAATATTATCATTTATCGCAATAATTTCTGAGACAATCAATCGCCCAGCAAATTTTGTTATCGTGATGGGCCTAACTGGGACTGCCACCTGGCGACCATTTTAAAATTTTGATTTGACAGTGTTATGTGTTTGGGTTCACTCTCAGCTACCACCATACTAAATTTCAGCTTAAAATAGCAAAAAATAATTTCTTTTAAACTATCGTTGCCATCTTGGATTTTTGATTTGGATTCAGTATGTGATCGGGAAGATTCTCAGCTATAACCACACCAAATTTCAGCTGTATGTGTAAATATAGCTGAGTTAAAGCCATTTAAATTGAGCTTCTGTGGCCATCTTTAATTTTTTTTAACTCATTATTTATCGGGTATTGGTTTCAGCTACTACCACAGCAAATTTCAGCTTAATATCTCTAAAAATGGCTGATTTACAGTATTTTTTCTTTTTTTAGCTCAGGTGGCCATCTTGGATATTTCATTTGCAACCAGTGTCTATGAAAAATGACAAAAAAATTGCGTCTTTGTTTGTAAATTATGTCACCATGGTAACTTGAAATGCCAATAAAAGTAATAGCACACATCACGATGCTGAGTCGGTCATATGATTTAACATTTGTTGGGGTACACATTGCATTTCGGGCTGCATTAAAGTTGACATATAAAGTTAAGAAACCCTTGTCAGGTGAATAATAGGTGGCTGCATTAAACTAGACAGTCCCCAGTTGTGTTGTTTTTTTTATTCGTCTTTATATTTTGTTTTCCCACATTAAATGTCACATGAAATATAAAGGATTAATGTATGTTTCCTGTTAAGTTTACTTCTTCTTGGGTTTTTTGTCCAGACGATGGCAAGTTTCCAGAAGCAGTGCACGTGCTCCTGACCTGGCTGGAACGAGGTGAAGTTAACCGCAGGAGCGCCAATAACTTCTACTCCATGATCCAGTCGTCGAACAGCCACATTCGCCGGCTGATGAGCGAGAAGAGTCAGCACGAGAAGGAGATGGAAGAGGCCAAAGACAAGTTCAAGACGGCTCTGTCTGGCATAGTGGCTCAATGTGAGTTTTTACTGACAATGTACAATCTAATGCATTGTGCAATAGCTAAAACGGATTTTTTGTTTTGTTACAAGAAGACAAAAATATTAACACTTTTTATGCAGGTCAGAAGAAATCAATCAAGTGTTTTCTCTGTGCTTTTTAGTTGTTGGGTTTTTTTTTTTTTTTTTTTTTAGTTTAGTGTCTTTCTGTACTTTGCTTTTTATAATTAAGAGTTGGAAAAAGTCAAAATCCAGGTCAAGACTTGTGTTCCTGGATAATGAAATCTACTCAAAAGTAAGTATGGGATTTTCACAGCCTAATGTATAGAGTGTGTGTGCACATTTATGTGAATACATCACTGCTGTACCTCACACAAGCCTCCATAGCTTCACTTATTTTGCCTATGGAAGGATGGATTAATGGTAAGTTCATGTTTCCATTAGTTACTTTCAGGGTTATTTATGTGGTAAAATTTAGCCAAAACAAAGTCTGAAAACGGTCTGTTGGCATTCAGAAAAGAAGCATCACTGAGGTGGATTACTTAGGGTTTCTTCAGATGAAAACAGTAAGTAGCCCAACACGTTTTCAGCTGGAACACAATGGAGTCCAAACATGAACAGTAAACTGCATGCTTAGTTGTGTCAAGCTCTTAAAAACCCAAAGGCAAAATGTTGAGTTTCTGCAGCACCTACGGTTGAAAGCCTCGGCTCTCCAGCTGCTCGTTTACACCGCAGCCCACAGCACTCTGTCTCCACATACCCCACCACACACATGTTAAATACAATGTAAACATCCGTAAAGACAGTGAGGAGTTGATGTCCCGTACATTGCTTACTGGGCAAATAATGCACTTTGAAGATTTAAAAGCAATGATTGTTTTTACACTAGCCAGAGAAGATTCATATCTGCCGTTCTTGTGTTAGACATTAATTATTTCAAGCACGTTTATATTCATAATGTTGCCTTCCTTTTTGGGGATTTTTGTCCATTTCATTATAGTTCAGAACTGACGCCCTGTGGGAGGTTTTAAGAGCGCAAAACTTCCCATTGTAGAGTGTACAGTTTGTGCTTTTTTTTAATCCAGGTAGGTCTTTCAGTGACAGAACTGGTCACTTTATAGAATGCAAATAAAGTGGATTTAAATCTTTGTGCTCAAAGACTGGAGGATTTTATTAATTGTCTTTTATTTATTTATTCATTTAGTTAGAATCACTCTCCTAACCATAGTTAACAAGCCTCAATATAAAAAGTTTGTCTGAGCTATTTTCTGCACATATATATATATATATGTATATATATATATATATATATATATATACATATATATATGTATATATATACACTTTTTGTTGCCTTTCAGCTCACCGTCCTGGTTGTGTTTTTGTAGCTTTTGTCTATTTTTGCCTTCATCAATAATAATAATAAATTATGGAATATTGGGAAAATGAGCTGTTTGATGCCGGAGCTGTTTCTCAGCATCCTGCAAATACTTTGATATCTAACTGGTAGTCTTATTGACCCTTTAGTTTACTAGAAAAATAATGTATGCATGTGCCCATAAACTTTAATAACAAGGTAGCTGCAGTTCAGACAAATGCATTAAGTTGGAGGTTTCCTGTCCTGCCTTGGTCTAATCACATACTTGGACCAAAAGATGCTCACTCAGCTGAGTCCAAGCTAAAGTATCTACATGGTAACTGACTTTCTAGTTACAGCAGCTCTAAAGGTTTTAGCAGCAATGCTTGAAGCATGCTTTTGTCCTCTTAAAAAGAGGACAGTCATCTGCACAGGGATAAGCAATCAGGAACACTGTATTACTGCAGTAAGGAAACGTCCTTGGGTAAGGTTCTTAAGAGCCCACTTCTGCAGTGGAGCTGCACAGCGGTCAACATCAGCAGACTTGGACTCGGAGGAAGTTATTTTTGTCAACTGGCAGCTGCTGTGCAAATGTAATGCAGCCAACTTGTGAAAAGGAGTGCAGAGCAAAATCAGTTGAATATGCCCAACTTTCCTTAAATGCAAATTCTAAATGTTGATATAGCAGTTTATTGAATAAGTATTGTATCCTACAAGAAAACAGCTGTCACTGTTTTGTATCCTTTTGTTCAATTCTCTATTAGCTGTATGTCAGTGTCAGGTTTTTCTTTTTTTAAAGCTCATTTTAAACAATAGAAGGTTGACTGAAATGGTGTACAGTAAAATAAGGTAAACTTGATTAAAACAGAGTAAAACAGTAAATAAACTCAAACAAAATATGTGCCACACAGATTAATGGCAATCTCAGTTAAAAGTCGTGAAAGCAACCTTTTAAATGAACGTGTTGAACTTTGCATTAGGCTGCACGGTGGATCAGTTGGTAGAGCTGTTGCATCTCAGACAGAAGATCGCCGGATCAAACCCTCCGGTGGAGTTTGCGTGTTTTCTCCTTGCATGCATGGGTTTTCTGCGGGTATAGGCTGATTGGTAAATTGTCCCTAGGTGTGTGAGAGGGTGAATGGTTTGTCTCGTTTGTCTCCATTTGTCCCTGTAATGGACTTGGACCTGTCCAGGGTGTCCCCCGCCTCTCGCACAGTGACTTCTGGATATGGGCGCCAGTGACACAAAAAGGAAGAAGTGATTAAAAGATGATGGATGGAACTTTGCTTTAATAGAAAAGCCTCTGAGACGAGGTGAATTGTTAATAGTATTTTTAAACTTTCTAAAGATCGTTAATAAATTACCAAGTTGTTGCGTAGATTAGTCACTGAAAGTTCTTCTCTCGTTTTTGATTCTGTATCTTCTGACAAAAGTTCCTTTCTGTATGTGGTTTTGGAAAACGGTATTTGTGTTTGTTGTGTTTCTGTAGAGGTATTATTATGACATTACTCCCCCATCGTTCCCATTGTAAAAAATACTAATATCTAACAGACATGAGCTGTATCAAATACATTCGCAGTTTAGGAGTTGATGAGATATTTTTTTGCTCCGAGACATCCACTGTCAGTCAAAGGACCATCATAGTTTATCTACAGCAGTCGTTATATTTGAGTCGTGGTGGATCAGCCAGCAGCTGTGGAGCAGAGCTGTCACTGTAGCTGATTAAAGTCGCCTCATATGTAGGTTTAAAAAGAAACTAGACTTTGTTCTGCATGAACTTTACTTAATAAAATCTAAGCTTGCTTAGTAAATGTAGGATTTGTTGACACTTAAGTGTGGGAACTTACTCATTGTTCATAAGATGATGCGTTGGCATCAGCCGGTATGTAAGACTCATACACACACCTAAACACACACAGTTCGTACCCCTAGTTGACTCCACTTTCTCACTCCTCTGCTCCCTCCCAACCGCCCTCTGTCTTTCTCTGTCTCTGTCTCTGGATGGTCTCTGGTCCTTCCCTGCATCCCGCCACAGTTGAACAGATTGTGTCTGTTTTCCAAGCCGCTTCCAAACAAAAGGCATGGGACCATTTCTCCAAAGCTCAGCGCAAGAACCTGGACATGTGGCGCAAACAAGCAGAGGTTGGTGCATTTTGGTTTCGTTCTGTTGTCCACTTAAATTCTGGTTAAATAGACATTCTGACATTTTGTTCCATTTGTGTTAGTGTAAAAGTCTATATTGTTGTTTAACAGTAGTTTTGTCATTAGTCTTGCATTATGCTGCTCAAAAGATGCTGCATTATTTTAATTTGAAAGATAATAAGAGCAAAATAATAGTTTTAAACAAGTAAGGATGCAGAACATGTGACTGGTTGCTGCAGTCAGACACAAAAGTCCAAATGTCTACACCCCCCCCCCCCCCCCCCCCATCCCCATCCCTTCCTTCCCCTCACCTCTTTCCTCCCGTGAAGGAAAACAAGCTGCTGGGTGAGTTTGTTTCCAGCTCTAATGGTTTCCCGGACACAGGTAATTCTGTACAAGCTCTCTCCTCCTGCATTAGTCATTTTAAAGATTTGAGTAAATCATCAAGGAGGAACATCTTGAGACAAAGTGTATGGATTTTGACATTTTAGCAGCTTTTTGTTGTCATTTACTGTCTGCTTGGCCTTTCCTTTTTCTGCCAAATGGAACATTAATTGTCAAGATGATGGTTTGTATGTAATGGAAGGGTCTGGAGTGTGCTGCAGTCCTGGGTCTAATGGACTATTTATGATCATATCTCAGTTGGTAAGTTTCTTTGAACCGCAGTTTGGAAAAAAAACAACTGATTCAAGATGTAATTTAGGGGCATGTGTGGACGTGCACACAATAACAGAATCTGAGACAACAAAAGCAACAATCATCCTGAAAAAAAAATGATGAAAGGTAGGTGTTGGAAAAACATTTGTTGCTCTAATTCTCAGATTTGCAGCATAAATATGAAAATGGTCAACCTAAAATGTTACCCCTCCAAACAGCAAATACAAGGAATTATGCTTACCGTATATTTCAGACTATAAGGTGCACTTAAAATCCTTTAATTTTTTTAAAAATCGACAGTGAGCCTTATAATCAGGTGCGCCTTATGTATTAATTCTGATTGTGCTTTGGACCTCGAACTGATTTTATGTGGTACAACTGAACAATGTTGAAAGTTATTGTGAATGAGTTGAATAAATTTTGACTTATCTGACTGTTTTGTTTCACTTAATGCGCTTTATAAACTGAAAAATACGGTAATGATAGCTTGAGTAAGTTTAACGCATGGTTGTTAAGAAAGCAGGAAAATGGATGATGCATGGTTGTACTTTGTATACCGACCTGTGTGACACTGATAAAGACAACTGTTCCATCTCAATACGATCTTGACAGTTTTTCAGCAACGTTCTCACGGAGGAATCCTTCATATTTGTTTATATTCTACAACAATTTAACACTCGTGTGTTAATAATTTGTGCAGTTGTTGGATCTACACAGTGTAAAGCAGAAGCACATGATGAGCTTAAATGCAAATGAAAGTGATATTTGTTGGTGGAATCCTCCACTTCTAGAAGTGTGTAATGAAAGTAAAATACTTTTAAAACTACAACCTCATTCAGTGCTTGTTTTATTGGTTTTACATGTAATAATTTGGGAGTTAGACTTTGTCATTGAATTTGAATGCATTTTGTTTAAATGTCCTAAAATTGAGAAGCTTTCTCAGAAGATGTCTTTTAAAATGATATTTAGTAACAAAAAGCTAATTTACTTTTTCACTTTATATCAACAAAATATGCTAACAGATGAAAATATTTGTTCCTGCTAAAAATTTGAATTACTTTAAAGCCCCTTTATTAAACTGCATTTAAAAATTAAAGTAGGCACTGATCTTTTAGCTGCAGCAGCCAGGAGTTTTATTATTGTTATACCTTAAATCGGATGTGGGTGCTGCCATGTGAGGTTTGTGTTGGTGACAGACTGGTGATCATGGGAATCATGCAATTAAAAAAAAATTTGCAAAGGCTTTTCAAATATGTAAATGTGAAGGCTGTTTATTTTGCTAATGTTTGTGTCTAAAGTTGGATTAAATATTTTCCTAAGCCAAATTAAAAAATGTATTTCTACATCCAAAAATTTGTTTTGAGAAAATTAACAGTATCAAAAACCACTTTAAAACTTTACCTATACACAAAATAAACAGAAATGTATTTCAAAAAAGAGGCTGTCCAGATGGCCTGGGGGAGAGTTGTTGGATTTCCACTTCTTCAAATTATTACAGAAAATTCTTTAAATTAATTCAACCTTTCTTTATACAGAGAGTCAGAGATTGTCATTCGCACCTCATGTGGTACATGTGGTGGAGCGAAATTATGTACACAGGGTCCCAGTTACGTCCGACAATAAAATGTAAAAGAAAAACAGTAATAAGATCCAAGATATGAACTCAGAAAAACATCAACTAAATATACACTAAGCACTAATAGCATAAAAACATTACGTCGAACATCAGCACAAACATGAGTCTGTGTGAGCAGATGAGCACGCTTGAACACATCAACATTGAAACAGATCAACAACATTACAGGTTAGTCTCATTGAGTCTCGGGGACTCCTTTACAAGAGAGACCTGAATTTTAACAAAGAATGATGACAACTCTGGACACCAAAGACAACAATAGACAATCATAAAGGATGTGTACAATTTATTTTTATTTTTATTTTAACAAGTGAAAAAAATATAAAACAGACGGCAGTATATTTTTATACAAAACATAAAACTGAACAGAATCATAACAGCAGTAGTCATACCAAGTAACAGGGCTTAATTTGTAAACCGATCACTGCTGGAACACAAATATTGGGTTGGCCAGTGGGGGATCTCGGGGTCCTCACCCCAAAAAATTTTTAATTAAATACATGGGATTTCCTACATTTTGGTGTATTTTAACGGGTTGTTAAACATCTAGGTGCTTGTAAAAATTATATATGTTTTTTTTTGTTTGTTTGTTTTTCTGTTTGTTTGTTTTTTTGTTTGTGGACCCCAGTTTGCAAATCACTGGTCTAAACCAATCGGTCGTTTGTGCATAGTAATCATATGTTATAGGCAAAATGGCCGCTTACTACTCACCAAACCAGCCAGAGAACAACCTGGCCAAAATAGTTAAAAAGAAAAAGAGTACGTTCAATCATCCAGGTAAATAAATCACTAAAACTTTAAAACATGTCATCTGGACAGTGACACATTTTAACTTGTTTGTGATTTATTTACCTGGATGATTGAGCGTACTTGCTCTTTACCATAGCTTGATTTTCTACACCAGCTACTTTACTTCTGCCCTGCGTTATTTATTGCTGTGTGCGCTCAGCCCATCAGTGCACAAAGCCACCACCTTGGGTTAAATATGAGGAGGTAATAACAGCTGTAAGATGCAACCATACATTCTCTGTGAAGGTCAGAGAACCATAATAATGGGCTATGAGTGTGAAAAACTACATAAAGCTGCCGACGGTGCCACGTTGTTAACTTCACCACAATCGATTATTCCTTCGCAGGCCAAAATATATAGTCTAGTACCCCAGATCAAAACTACGACGTCGTTCCAGATTCTTTCTTCTTCTTTGTTTTTTACTTGGTTATACATACACCTCCCTTAGAGGCTGGAAGCCCGCTGGCCAGTGTAAAGAACATCGGTGAGTAAATGTTGTTGTATGGAGCTCATTTATTATCCAGAAGGAACCCAGATTTGCTCTCTCGTATCGGGTGTTCAGTGTGATTCTTTGGCACGGAGGTGAAATTTGAAGAAACAGGCAGCAGCGGGAAGTAGAAGCATCTCCAGGGCAGAATCAAACAACAGCTGCCTCCTTCTATCAGTTTCCATGTGCTGTGGGTTTGTGCTCCAATCACACCAGTTGGTTGTGTTTCGTCTTGTGCTGGTGTGTGTTCAGTACCTGTTTGCCATGGGCTTTGGCTGATAACTTCAGCTGACAGATGGTTGTAAGTTTATTTACTCTTGGGTAACTTCAGAGATACTTTCAGCTTTTCCGAAGCAGGTTTCAGTTTGATTCTCTTTTCATTTTATCTGATTTTATGCAGTCTTTTATGGTCGTGTTTGTACATATGGTGTCTGGTAACTTCACAGCAGAAAATGTTAGCATCTGTTAAAGCACATAAAACACAGTGCGGTGTACTTGAACACAGCCACATGGAACATAACCTGTCTTTAGTCATGCTTTTATGATACCCTGCTGTGGGAAAAGTACCATATTTTTAGGCCGATAATCTTGTTTCTTTGCATAATTTGCATGTCCTGCGATTTATAGGCTGAAGCAACGTATTTATGGATTTTTTTCCTTATTTATAAACCAATTTTTGGCTGAGATATGACCGTTTTCATTCATTCTGACTGAAAAAATTAAACACTATCATTTTTAGCCACTAGATGGCACTTGAGTAGTAAGGCATGTCGTTGGATCATGTAATAGATAAAAGTGGATATTAATGGCACAATCTGCTTGCCATAGCCTGCCACCATCTGTCTAGAGCAACCGAATCAGCTTCATTTCACTGTGCCGCCCTGGTGAAATGCATTTATTAAGTAAAAGTTCAGCTGAGACACACCTTTACTATAAAGTCGAGCAAAGAAATAATTGTTTTTAGGTGGTTATCTTGTTAAATTTCAAAGAAATGGACAAAGTCACTGTCTGCGCGTTCATGTTTCCGCGTATTGGCTTTTGAAAATGCAGCTGATTTGACCATCAAAGTGCATTTATTAAACAAAATTTAGACTGAGACAACCTTTACTATAATTTCAAGCAAACAAATAATTGTTTTTAGGTGTTTAGCTTGTTAAATTTTGAAGAAATGCACAGATGCTTGTCCCTCTGCACGTGCCCGCTATCGTGAATCGGGTTTTGAAAAGCAGCTGATTTGACCGTCAAAGTGCATTTATTAAGTAAAAGGTAGACTGAGACATCTTTACTATAATTTCGAGCAAACAAATAATTGTTTTTAAGTGTTAATCTTGTTAAATTCTTTTAAAAGTCCTCCCATGCACGCTCTCGTGGCTGCCATTTGGCAGCCAATCAATTTTTGGCACAACACCAGCCCACATTTCTGGGTTGTCAGTGGTGACGCGTATCAAACGCGACACGTCAGCGGTGACACATAATAGATGCAACGTATACATCGAAGCAACATATTTATGGATTTTCCACTTTTATTAGATATATTTGGACTGATGCAACTTATAGGGCGGTGCAACATATACGGCGTAAAATACGGTAACTAAACTCTTAAAAAAAAAAAAAGAAATCATCATTCTCTTTGATGAAATAGCTTCTGGTAATTTACCCAAAAAATTCTAACATCCTAGGCTTTCTGAAGATTATTTAACACCATCTTCACTCTTGTTATCCAAATAAAATTTAAAAAATAATAATTTATGTTGGTTTTTTGGGTGTTTTTTTTCTTTGTAAGAACTCACCCAAACCCAACATTTTTCTTTGTGAGCCCTTGTTTTTATCGTTGGCCAATTCTGAATAAATTAGCAGCAGAAATCTCTGCCGCGTTCACATTTGATTGATTTAAATCAGTTTACGCAGGGATTATTCTAATCCTCTGCCAGAACATCAGGCATTAACATTTTTGACCCTGCAGGCCTTGGAAAGCTCACTCTCGTATTTTATTTTGGAAAATTAAATAGCTTTTTTTTTGTCATTTATTTGTGTTGCTCTCAGTAAGAAGCAGCTTTGTAAAACAAAACCAAAGCTTAAGATGTACGTTTTGTAATGAATAACTCAATTTTTGTGGAATGTACTTATTTAGAAAATGAATATTTATTAAATGTGTACTCAACGGAAAAAAAGCATTTCATCTTTGTTTATCTTCACTTTTTGATTCTATGATGATGCTTTTAAAAGTTGGTCATAACTTATACTTAATGACTATTGCAACTATTCTCGTTCAGCTTTTTAGTTTGTAGCTCTCATGAGTCTTGGCAGCTTTTATCCACCTGTGTCTTCTTTGTGTGTTGCAGGAGATCAGAAATATGCACAACGAGCAGTTGATGGGCATCAGACGAGAGGAAGAGATGGAGATGTCGGATGATGATATGGAGGACGTCCCTGACAGCAAAGACTCTGAAGACTCGGGTATGCATATGCACGCACGTATCCACAGTTCAACACTTTTGTCATCTTCGACAGGACATGCACCAGTCGAGATCTCCAGAGGGTGAACGCATTGATTGTTAAATACCTTCGGGAGATGGCTGCGCTTGAATAAAATGACACTGATCATCCCGCCGCCAACCATCTGACAGCCGTCTCACAACTCTGCATGAGTGAAAGAACATGTTTAAATTCTTTCCAAAATGCTGACAGCGTCACCGCTTTATTGAGTTATTGTTGAATTTGACTGCTGAATGCCTTCTAGCTCAGTTTGCTACAGTGAAAAGACGCATAGGAGTGTGACTGCGTCCGCATCTCTCCACACCCACCAGCTGCCACTTCCGAACGCAGTTCAACATAAGTGCGATTATCGTGTGTTTTTCCCTCGGAGTCCCTTTCTGTTTGCTGGAACAACAAAGACTAATGATGTTGCTCATCTCTTATCCTCTACAATAACTCTGAAGTGGTCACCTGGGCAGCATGCAGACGCCACTCGCCACCACGTCTGTCACTCTGTTCTGCTGTCCTCGTGTACTCGTTTCTTTTTCCTTTATCGGTGTGATCTCTGCCGTTTGCTAATAAGACAGCATTTCTAATTAGCATGCAAATATATGTAAACGCTGCTGTCAACTCATTTACAACCTTGCTGTTTAGCTATTAGTGATTAGTACTGCTGTCAGAGACCTGTCGTTTTGCTCGCTTCAGCAGGATGTGCCGCGGTGACGGGTGTTAATGTGACGTCTTGGTGCTTGTGTTTACAGGCACATTCTTTTCTCACCTTTAAGAAAAGGGGTTATGTTTATGTGAAACATCTGTGTTATGACTGCAACCTCTTAAAGAAGTGAGTCCTGTGCAGAAAGTTAAACTTGACCCAGGTGCTTGACTTTATGCCTGGAGGTGTGTGTGTGTATGTTCAGGCTCCTGGCTAGCCGCAGGTCGATAGCACTGCCGGTTACGTAACAGAATTCAGCCAAGCAGTTGACATCTTCTCACACCAAGCTGATGAGACTCTCAGATCAATATCCTTCTCACCTCAAACCTTCATTTTGCTAGGAGAGAAGCACACACAAACTCGATGTGGACACACACGCTCACACAGCAAGAGTTCATTAGCGCTGCCAATGGTCCTTCATGATAGACTGCAGGCAGCCCTCATGGACACCTACACACCCCCTAATAAGACGCCGTTTTACAACACATACACATACATGGGGATGAGGATTATCTGCTCCTTTTTTTATTAAAGAGTTTCTCCTCTAGCCCTGTACGTGGGGAGCGAAATGGCAGTACTGGAAATCTCTAATGCTGAGAAGGTCTCATGATGAAAAATCCTCCCTCCACTGAGCCTCTGCTCAGCAGGTCAGGTCAGATGTCCAGCAGAGCACTTTTGGACAGAACATTCTGGGATTATTCCAGCTTTTAGTCATTGTTAAAATGCTCCTGATTTTTTTAATAAAATGAGTGAATAGAGAAACGACAATGCAACACTAACTTAACAACATTTAGTGCGAGATCGTGGACGCTGTGTTAGTTGTAACATTTGCAAATACACTCGACAGTCCTGGACCGTTATGAATGAACACATAATGGAAGAGATTTGTCATCCAAACTATTTTCACATCTTAAATTGGATGTAGAACTGCTTGAATCAGCTTTAACTTGTGAATGTTTTTCCTTTTATACCCACCTACTTACAATTCAGATATAAAGTCAAAAAAAGCTTCTAGTTCCAATTGAGTAATTTTTCCTCATCTATTATAGCTTCTTTATAACTTATAAAATGTAAAGATTTCCTGGATAATCAAACTAACATTTGGATTTGTTGTTGTGTTCATTTCAGCCTTATATTTGAGACATAAAATGTCTTCAAGGTTCTTTATTTTGTCATTCACATCGCATGTGGTACATGAGGTGGAACAAAATTGTGTACACAGGGTCCCAGTTACATCCAACAATAGCAAAAATATAAAGTCTAAAAAGAAACGTAATCGTTTTGTCATTGACTTGATGAAAAGCTACTTGTCTTTTCAAACTCTTACTGTCAGAGGTTATCAATCCAGAGATACCAATCTGTCAGAGAATTTAAGAACGCTTTAGGCCCCGTTTACAGGACCCGTTTTTGAGTGAAAGCCTTGGCCATTAATTTACACGAAAACAACCCTCGTTCTTTGTGTATGTTCCTTCATATTGAAACTCTGGCACAACAATTTCCTGCAGAATCAATAAAGATATATCTTATCTTATCTTAGAGTGGAGATTTTCAGGGAAACACACCCACCCCGCACGGAGGTGCGAAATGCTCCGCAAGTTTGAAGTCGCACATGCACACTACAGGCGTTTTTTCTTGACTAACAACAGTTATAATAAATGGCAGAGAGCAGAGTGTTTTTGTGCTACTCACCCTTTTTCAGCATAAAATCCAGGGTCCAAGGAGAGGTTTAGTGTATTCGCCAGTTTGGATGTAACTGTGATCATGCAGATGCTGCCTGCACGATAACTGCAGCTGAGCCCAGCATCAGGGTTGCCAGATACATTTAAAATGTCTTATTTACCCCCTCCTTTTCTGTGCACATGTTCACCAAACACAACTCACACCTCATCTTAGAATATCTTTACTCAGCACATATGACAGTTTTGGTCAAAATACTAATGTTTTAAAGTGACTATATCTAAAAAAGTTAAATCTGGTCCTCTGGACATTCAGAAAAACAAAACAAAGCAAAAAAATGTAGAAACGTTTCGTCTTTCATCCAAAACACTTCCTCAGTCTTATAAATAGCACCTTCTCAGAGTGGATCAACCAGTTTTGCTGCTGACAACCAAAACCAGCTGCTCACATGATCAAGAAGAACCATCAGCCTAACAATGGATCATTAGCACACTGATGGCTGTTTACTGTTCACAGAGGGCTGAGTGATGGCGCAGAGGTTAGAAGATGGACTTGTGATTGGAAAGTCACAGGTTCACCTCCCGGAACCGTCAACATCAAAATGTGGGTGGAAAAAGTGAAACACCCACACCTGCCTCCACTCTCATTCTCCCCACCCTGGGCCCCTGAGCAAGGCCCTTAGCCCCCACCATCTGCTCCCTAAACAGGTCTCTCTTGAAAATGAGTTCTCGTGGCTCAATGAGACTACCTGGATAAATAAAGGGTAAATGAAAAAATGAAAATGATACTAGCAATCACAGCATTGTAAGAGGGGGACAGTTGAATCTGTAGGCCTCCACCCCTGTTTAATGATGGACGATTTCTTTTCACAAAGATGGCCTCCTTTACTCCTCTCTCAAACCATCGTTCCTCTCTGTCCAGGATGTGAACATCTTCATCCTTGAAAGAGTGACCGCTGGCCTGGAGATGAGTGTAGACTGCAGAGTTCTGGCCTGATGATGTTGATCTTCTGTGCTGGGCCATCCTTTTGGCCAGTGGCTGTTTTGTTTCCCCGATGTAAGACTGATCACAGCCCTCCTGACACTGAACAGCATACACAACATTACTCTGTTTGTGCCGGGGGACTGGATCTTTGGGATGAACCAGTCTTTGCCGTAATGTATTTTGGGGTTTAAAAGCCACTGGGACGTTATGTTTAGAAAATAAACGTCTCAGTTTCTCTGATACTCCCTCAACATACGGAATGACCACTGGTCTGGGTCTGGGTTCCTCCTTTTCACCTGATGGCTGACTGGAGTCCTGTTTGGGTTTCTTCTCTGTTTTCAAGAAGGCCCAGTTAGGATTTATTTTTTGATTGTCCAGAGGACCAGATTTAACTTTTTTTACATTTTTCTACCTGGATTATTGAGCATGCATCAGGATATGACAGTACTATAGTTCATAATTTCTTATCTGGCAACTTGACTGCCATGGAAACACGTGAGAAGTCATCTCAGGACACTGAACAGAAACATTCATATTTATAAAAATTAAATTAACATTATTTATCTGAGGATCAGATTGTTTTGAAACTATAGCTTTTTCTTGTAAACCTGCTTTTTTTGTTTATTACCCCCAGTAAACATTGAAAAAGCACTAACATTTCCAGAGGTGGTTCTCATGTAAACAAGGCCTTATTGTTAATTGTCAGTATTGAGTACTTTAATCCATTAAGTAAACTAGCAAAAAATTAGCTGAGCAGGCTAATTTTCTTGCAGGTTCATGGTAAAAAAATAAATAAACAACAAACAAAAAGGTACCAAAGTGCATAAATAGATCAAATTATATTATCTTAAGGGGGGGGGGGGGTGGGGTTATCACTAATAATATTGATAAACCTATTCAAGCAGTTGATAGATTTTTCCTCCACCTTTATACTGTATTTACACATTATAGAAGAAAAATGATCATAGATGCAATCTATTATCCCAGGTTCTATATTTTGTTCAGTTTAATCAGCAGATAAAATGTTTATTTTAACCCAAGTCAAAGAAGGACTCCAGCTGTGACTTGTGTCAAAAAGAGAGGAGTTTTCAGAGACTTGAACGTCATCTGGTTTATAAATAAGATCTTTTCCAGGCACACTCTGTACTTTTGGAACAAGCACAGATATTTTTATTACCAGACATCTATCAAATGGATGTGTGTCATTCTGGGCTGCTGGACCTACAGTAGTAAGATATTGTCTCACTTTCTGTGCACACTTTAACCCAAGAGAATAAAAATGTGACATCACTGTCCTATATGTTGCTTTTTTAAATTTTTTATTAAGACTCCAGCGAAGCAAATGAGTGAAATTCATGTGGAAAATATTGCATTTAGAAGAACATTTATTGACACTTCTTAACTGGGGGATGTTCCTATTAACCAATATTTTTTTTTAAATTCTGTGTTGGGTGTAGGTGTTTCTCAAGCAGAAGCCTTAAAGGAGGAGAACGATTCCCTGCGCTGTCAGCTGGACGCCTATAGGAATGAGGTGGAGCTGCTCAAACAGGAGCAAGGAAAGAACCAACCGGTCAGAAGTGAGGAGGACAACACTCACTCACAGCAGCTCAGCTTCCTGCAGCAGGCTCTGCAAGGCATGCAGAAGGTAACCTTTCACGTGCGCATGGTATACAGACACGTACAACCTTTCTGTAGTTTGCCCACCAAAGAATGAAATCATCTGAGCATTCCTGTCCGATGCCTTGCAGTCGCAACAAGGCTGCTCAGGTACAATGTTTAACACAAAAATTATAAGATGAAAAAATTATCGCTTAATGATTCTGAACTTAGGGGGGGGGGGGGGGGCTGAAAGTTATCTGAGCATGAAGAACAGCTAAAAAGATATTTTCAAAAATAACTTGCTGTAGTTGGTTTAAGTTGGTTTAATAAAAGGACACACTTATTGGGGGGAACCCAAGACCAATAAAAAAATAGATTATTTCTTCAAACAAAGATAATAAAATATATAAATTAGTTTCTTTAAAATGTGCCTTGAATCTTTGTGAGTATGTTTTTGTTGTTGTTGTCCAAATGCTTGTGAAGAGCTTTGTTGGTTTTTCATTTTCAAATTGAACCCATCAAACTGCTTTCGGTAACCTACAACCTATAGCAGCATAACAAGCCAAACCTAACTATAGGATTTATTCTTTCAGTTTATTTATATAGCACCAAGTCACAACAGAAGTCATCTCAGGGCACTGAACAGAAACATTCATATATAAAAATAATAACTTAACATTATTTATCTGAGGAACAGACTCCTTTGAAGTTATCTCCATCACATAACTCTAATCTTGAGCAAGCATGAAGGTGACAGTGGAAAGGAAAAACTCCCTCATGAGGAAGAAACCTTTAGCAGAACCAGGCTCAGGACAAGTGGCCATGTGCTTCAACTGGCTGGGTTTGGTAGGAATAGATACACAATGGCAGGTCAAAAATCACATATTAAGATAGAAATAGTATCAAATGAAAACTATTAAATTTTAACAAATCATTTAAGGAAATGAGGTCAATTTGTCCTCTAGTAGTCTAAGCCTATAGCAGCATAACAAGCCAAACCTAACTATAGGATTTATCAAAAAGGGAAGTCTTAATCCCAGTCTTTCAACTGGACAATGTGTCAGCCTCATGGACAGAAACTGGAAGTTGGTTCCACAAGAGAGGAGCCTGATAACTGATAGATCTTCCACTCATTCTGCTTTTGGCAACTCTAGGAACCATGAATAAGTCTGCAGTCTGAGAGCAAAGTCTCTGTTAGAAAAATATGGAACATTAAGATCTCAAATATAAGATGGAGCTAGGTTGTTGAGAGTTTTGTAGGTTTGAAGTAAGATTTTGAATTCATTTCTGGACTTGACAGGGAGCCAATGGAGAGAAGCTAAAACCGGAGAGATATGATCTCTCCCAGTAACTCCAGTTAAGACTCTGGCAGCAGCATTTTGGACCAACTGAATAATTTTTTTAAGTATTTGGACACCCAGATAACAAACCATTACAATAGTCCAGTCTAGACATGACAAATGCATGAATTAGTTTTTCTGCATCATTTTTAGGTACGATAATTCTAATTTTAGTGATATTACGAAGGTGGAAGAAGGTGCTTCTAGTAACATTTTTAGTGTGAGGGATAAAATCCAAAAAGTACAAGAATAGAAGTTTTTTTTTTTGTTTTGTTTCTGTACAAGCTAAGGTCAGTAAAGCTTCAGTCAGGAAGAAAAAAATATATATAAATACATACAGAAAATCTATAATTAAAATGAAAAACCTTCCTTCTTGTAGTTAGTTAAGAATATCACCCGCTGCCTTTCACGTTTGTGTAATCTACTGTAGACGAGCTTCGGCAGCCATTTTTAACTGAGTTGACCCCAAAATTTAATCAGTTGTGGATGTTCAGCCAGTAATTACTTTCTGGATGATTCTTTGAAATTCATCCAGCAGTTTGAGATATTTTGCTAACAAAGAGACACAGATGACTCCAATAGTTTATGGCAAAGTGTTAAACAGATCTTGCACCATCAGTCAGCGCTCAGAAAATAAGTTTATGATCAGTCGACGGTACTACCACCCCTATTTTCAGCTCGGTATCTGTCCATTTGACTGAGCTGTAGCCATTTTTGTGTTTTCTAAGACTGCTTTGTTGTGGTAGCCATCTTGAACTGGGTTGACTCCAAATTTTAATCAGTTGTAGGTTTATGTACACTGATTATTTTTTGGAAGTTTCATTGACAAATTGTGCACTGATTTACAACACCTGTTGCAAACAGACAAAAAGCAGACATGGGCAAAAGCATTATCTGTTCACCTTTATTGTCAGGCATTAAAAACGTGTCAGGAAGACCTCACCATTACGAATAATGATAAAACCACATCCTCTGCCAACAAGTTAACGTGCACCTGATGGTGACGATGAAAAGCTTTCAGACAAATTGTTGCCATGCTTTTTTAGGTTACACTGAATTTCTCCACAGAGCTTTTAAAAGAAGAGATATTTGTTTGTCAGAAACAATCCCATTTGCCTCCGAGATGCTCGAGCAACACAAAATTGACTCCGGCGTTCGTCAGGTGTCCTCGCTCAGCTTCCTGTCTCAGATAATGGAAATTATGATCGACTCATGTTCAGAAGAAAAGAATCCATTAAGGCCGTGGCGTTCATTTCTTCCTGCAGAGAGTAATTACTGTTCCAACTTGTGCTATGTTTATGAAAAGATTAGGTGAACGGAGCTGAAATTGGATACGTCGACCTGTCAGGGTCCACATGTGGCTTCGCCGCAGTCACTTAAACTTGCGATAAAACATTATCAGCAGGTACTGGCGGCGTGTTACCTCTCTCATCAGTCATCAGGTATCTCAGTTTTAATCTGTGCAAAACATAGTTTCATTAAAGCAGGTGGATTGTTTATTAGGGCGGCTGTGGCTGAGTGGTTAGAGCTGTTGTCCTCAAATGCAAGAGTTGGGGGTTCGATTCCACCAGCAGCCACATGCTGAAGTGTCCCTGGGCAAGACACTGAACCCCTCATTCCCTCCTATTTGTGTCCCATCAGTGTATGAATGTGATAAAGCTCTGATTAGTCTTTGTATAGATGTAGTAGAGTGCTGTATGAATGAGTAAATGAGGACATAGATTGTGTTGTAAAGTGCTTTGAGTGTCCTGATCAGATAGAAAGGCGCTGTATAAGTACAGACTATTTACTGTTTATTCAATGTAAATAATTTTATATGCGTGTAATTTTGTCAAAGTTCCAAAATTCACAGTTGAAACCTGCACCTTCATGTAAAAGTTGTTTTTCTCTGCAAAAAGAAGCTGACAATGTATTTACTGATTTATTTTTAATTTTTATTAAAAGCTTTGTGTGAAAAATGCTATGCTAAAGAGCTCAAACCACACCGAGCATCCGCCATCTTGAGAACCAGAACAAAAGGAAAGTGAGACAGCCCATGTCACATCAAGGGGCCTCCCTCTCATTTTTCTTATAGAGACACGCTGCTCACTCCCTCACTATCCATCCTTCGGTTCATACAGTCTTATACTGCCATCCGGTGGTAAAAAAAAAAGGTACTGCATGCAAAACAAATTAAACATTTCTTCTTAAATTTGACAGTAATTACAAATTATTGTCAAATTTTAAACAATATTATCGTTTATCGCAATAATTTCTGAGAAAATTAATCGCCCAGCAAAATTTGTTATCATGACAGGCCTAGTGTAATTTCTAATTTTGAACTATGTATAAACAAAGACATTTGGCTAAATGCTTCAGCAGGTTAAGGTTCATTAAATGGTTCATTAAAGCAGTAATTTCCTTTCTGTTTTTTTATAGTCATCCTGTTTTACATTAAACCCAACTTTGACCTGCCCGTGTTCCTATTTCCTGCCTTCAGAACTCTGTTAGTGCCGTTCGTTTTTTTTCATGGTTGGTCGATTCACTGTAGCCTTGGTGGCTTCATGCTATTTTTTTTTGTTTGTTTGTTTATGCAGCAACTATTACAGATGAGGGAAGAACTGAAGCAGCGAGAAGCTGAGCTGGAAAAGAGCTTGGAGGACAAGCAGCAGCTGAGGTCACAAGTCCAGAACCTGAAGGAAGGTTTCCAGAAACTGCAAAGCTCGCATGTAATGCAGGTAAGAGAGAGAGAAACACACACTTCACAGGGTTCCTTAATGTAAAGAGTGGAAGTAAAGATGGCGTGCTTTCGTAGTGTTTCACAACAGAACTCAACAGTGTGTGTTGTTGTTTTGGTTACAGAGAGAAAAGTTTCGCTCTTAGAAAAATGAAATTAGTTCAAGATGTTTGGGAGTATTTGATGCATTAAAGAAATTACAGCAATAAATCATCAATCACAGAAATGGCACAATATGAATGTTGTAATATTTACTGTCTATAAAAGAAAATAATATGAACTAATAAAAATGTGTTCTGACCTCATCATGTATCTTAAAACAGCTTCAGAACATCAAACTAAGAAAATCATCAGGGCAGAAAAAATAACACTCTCGTCATAACTCAAGTTGCATTCAACTCTTTAAATTTATAATTTTCCTCTAAAAGTGTTTTTGTTGCAAATTTCTAAGTGACTCGTTAACAAGGTTGTGTATTGTATTCTCTAATTTAGCTTTAATTATATTTAACTAGAACATAACGCACACACACATCTTTAAATGCTATTCATGCATGATTGCATCGTGCATTTCTTGTATTTCATTGTTTTCACGTTATGAATTTTTATTTGAACATATTTTATATATAATTAAACTAAATTAATCCCATGCCATGCTACATTTAAAGCCAGACTGACTGAAATCAGGAATGTATTTCCATGAAAAGACAGAGGTGTTCAAAAACCAAGCAAGAAAATTTACTATATATTAACACAGCTGAAGTAGTGAAGACATTAAAATGTGTTAACTTTAATTACGTTACCGTGAAGCAGAGTTGCATTCGGGCCTAAAAAAAATCCACCTGGCCTGAACCTGTATAATTTTTTTCCGAGCCCGACCTGAAACCGACCAATTAACTGTGATTACAGACCCGAACACCCCCCAAAAAAACTTGACTTTTTTCTTTTTTTTTACCTCTTTCAACCGGTCGATCAGCGCACGGTCAAACAGCCGCACGTGGCTTGTGATTCAAATTGGGTTGTCGGCTGCTTGTGTCCGCTGACGCAATCAAAAGCCCAACTTCAGGCCGGGCGGCAGATCCGAGTTAGAAATGACAGCTCTGCCGTGAAGTCGTACGATACCTCAAGGATTCAAAGATGCCACTGTATTGATTCCGTTTTTTTCTTTTTTTCTTTTTAACCTTTCAAATTTGTGCACTAGTTTTATTTAAGCAGAACAAAATGCTCACCTTTGTTAACATATTGGTCACTGTCTGCTTCATTTATTCTTTCGTATCTTCCACCCACTGCCAGCTGCTGTTATCAATGTTTTTGATTTGACCTGTTTTGGTCATAATGTTATGGCTGCAGTTTGCAGCCTGCCTAATAGCCAGTAAAACGTGTTTGCAGAAAATCAAAGCAGGAAATCCAGAGCTGTGGTGAAAGCTTGAAGAAAGAAAATGAAATTGGCAATGTACTGAGCTTTGTTAGATGCAGAAGTTTTATGAGATTTTATTCGACGTTGACCTCCAGGAACTGAAGCGTGGACTCTTACCTGAACGTTTTACCCTTCTTGAATGCATCAACACTGCCATAACACAAACCAATAAATGTTTCTGAGAGGCAGCAAGTCATTTGGTTTAGGTTCTACCTCTCTGATAGAACCTTTTGTGTCTATGTCAAGGATTTTATTTCAACAACAGCTCTTCATGGGGGTTTACTGCAGGGCACCATTCTTGGACCTCATCTCTTTTCTTTACACCTGTTGCCACTATTTTTTTTTGTAAACGTAACATCTCTTTGCATTTTTATGTCAATGACTGTCAAATTTACTTCCCTCTGAAGCACACTGATGCACGCTCTATCCAAACTCTTCTTTACTGCCTGGTTGACATCAGGTATTGGATGGCTTTAAATGTCTAAAATTTTAATGAGAAGAAGACAGAAGTGTTGTTTTCTCTTAATGGCACAATTAGTAACCACAGTATCGACCTTTCCTCTCTACCCCTGTTTGAGAAACGGGTTGTTACTAACCTGGGAGTGAAAACGGACCCTTCCATGAAGCTAATCTGACATGTAAACATGATGGTTAAATCTTTTGTTTTCAGTTGAGGCGACTGTCTAAATTGAATCCCATACTGTCCAAAAAGTAGCCTTGAGACCGTAGTGCATGCTTTTATAACATCCTGGCTTGAAGACTGCAATGTGCAGCGGATTCAAAATGCTGCAGCCTGATTTTTAACTGGTACAGGCAAAAGAGTGCACGTCTCTGGTTTTGACTTCTCTTCACTGGCCACCAGTTCACTTCCAAGTTCATTTTAAAATCATTTTAAATGTTTTTACCATACCATACCATACCACTTTATTTATAAAGCACTTAAAACAGCTACAAAGCCAACCAAAGTGCTGATTTGAGAATAAATCTCTTAATTATTCTGCCCCTCTTATCTTGCTGATCTGCTGCAGCCATATGTCCCACAGCGCTCTCTGAGGTCAGCAGACCAGACGTTTCTATTGGTTCCAGTCACTCGTTTTAAGCTCAGAGGTGACAGGGCCTTCTCTGTTTCAGGTCCAATACTGTGGAATGAGTTACCACTGCATGTCAGGCAGGCTCCCACTCTTACTGTTGTTAAGTCTCTTTTAAAAACACACTTTTATTCCCTGGCTTTCGGATCCAGTGAGTTGATTTTAACTTCACTGATTTTTTTTATTATTTTAGTCATTTAGTTTTTATCTTTACCTCTCTGGATTTATGTATTTTATGCTGTGTTCTTTGCTTGTCGTTTTGTTGTACAGCACTTTGGTTGGCCTTGTTGCTGTTTTTAAGTGCTTTATAAATAAAGTGGGATGAGATTTGTATTACAGGGATGTACAGCCTGCTGTAGACTGTCCGCTAATTGAAAGCTGCTACAAAAGGCCCAAATCATCAGTTAGAACCACTCCTGCCACATTCTGTATTCACTGAATCAGGCTGACGTCTAACTAATTAATGCCCAGCCGTTTGACTAGTCATGCCCTTTCTTAATACGCAATCTTACAAACTATTTGAAATGTCAAGGGTCATTCTTCCCCGGCCGCCTCATCGTGTTTACTAATGCTTAAGGTGTTGTTCCACATTCCCAGTGCTCAGGTGTTTATTTGTTAATGTTCCCTCCGGCTGTGTTTAATGAGAGGAATGGTCGTCATTAGAATGTGCCGCAGTAAATCGCCTCTTAAATTGATAATAATACACGCTAAAGGCCCTCGTTTCACACGGGGATTTCCCCCGCATGTCTGTTTGCTCTATGATCACTGGGGGCTTCGTACAACACAGAGCTGAATCCGTAACGTGTCGACAGATCCCTTCTTCAGAGGGACACTTGTCAATAGCTTGTTAATGGCGATGAGTTTGATAAGAAATGTGGCCCCTCCACCGTGAGCTACGAGGTGATATGCTAATTAAATTGCTGCATGCAAGCAAACATGAATCATGAAGGACAGCCTCATTACAGGAAAAAAGAGAAATCAATTTTAGGGTTTGGGTTTCTCTGAAGATTAGCAGACAGTAAAGGATGATTTGTCACATTGAGGACTTTTCTTCATGGCCTCAGTTCTCCATCACTGGTGCAACGTCCCGGCTGTCCCCAAGATGTCACCACGCATTACTCCTCTGACTCAAGTGCAGGTCATTCAAGAGATTAACCTTATGACCAAAACAAACCTTTTCATCATTTGGTGACATATATTACCGCTGTCAACGTTTGATTGAACGCAAGTAATTATTTCTAATCCAAAGAATTGGATTGCTGAAACACTTTGAATGGCAGGGAAATAAATGACTGTTCGTAATATTGCTGCAAAGATGTTCATGTTCCTAATCTTAAATCTAAATTTAGGGATTCTGCACTTGCTGTAATGAAACTCAACAGTGTACAAAATAAAAAGCCTTTTTTATTAGACCCTTCCAGGTTAGGAAATGTAAACTAAAATTCAGTGGATCTTATCAGGAATATTTTCTTATAGAGCCAGAGAGAATATTTTAGATTAGATTTTTAAACGTCTGTGTGGTCATCTGATTACCTGCCCAGAATCCTTGACATGAAAGTTGTCGGGTTTTGAGCGTCTCTTTAAGCTGAGACTAATTTGTAAATGAGCATAAAAGTTTATTTTTGCTAAAAACTGCACAAGCTAACTTAACAGTTCAAGAATAAATTTAAGAAATACATATTCTCGTTTTAATTTAACTTTATTTTAATCATTAAATACCTGTTAGTACCCCTTATTTACATGTTTTAGACATCACTGTAAAGTCACTGCAAAATCAGAGATTGATATCTTTTTTTTTTTTTTTTTTTTTTTTACAGCCATAAAACTGATTAAAATACCAAAGTTCATGCTCAATAATCCAGGTAAAAATCCAACAATGTTCAGTCAGGTCAGCTGGATGGTTTCTTCTTTTTTTTTTTTGCTGAGACGTTTCGTCCTGCATCCAAAGGACTTCTTCAATCTGCGGAGACACCAAACAAACTCATTCCAACAAACGGCATACTCCATAGTGGAGAAAAACAAACAGTTTGCTGGAGAGGGTGGGCCCCGGAGGCCATCTTCACACCAGCAAACTGTTTTTTTCCCACTATGGAGTATGCTGTTTGTGGGAATCAGTTTGTTTGGTGGCTCCTCAGACTGAAGAAGTCCTTTGGATGAAGGACGAAACGTCTCAGCAAAAAATGAAACCGTCCAGATGACCTGACTGAACATTGTTGGATTAAAATGTATAATGCAAAACATAAACAAAGTACAGTGATGCCTTTTTTGGGCCGAGGCTCATTAGTTCCACAAAGTAGAAAACTAAAGACAAAAGAGAGAGCAAACTTTTAAACATCTGTATTATCATTTGAAGTTGGAAACAAATTTTAAAAGTTTAATATTTCCTCAATTTTAAGCGTATGAAAAGTGTTGAGGAAAGGTGGCTTCCCTTCATTACTCATATCTTCAATTACCACCATCAGACGAGCTCGTTTTTTTATTTTGTAATAAGTGACTTCAACTCTGAGTCAGGTGTCTTACTGTACATGTTTTTATTTTTCTGTTGAATTTATCATTAAAGTAAATATATTCTGAGAAATCAGGACACAAACCGTTCCATATTTAATGTGTAACTTGTTTGTCCCGATTTTGACTCAGAACTAGGTAATTATAACAAAACAAACCCGTACGTATAACCCGTACGGAGTTTCAGTTTTACTTGTTTGCTCAAAATCAGCCTTTTCACATTATTTTCATGGTCAACAGTTCTTTAATTTAATCTTGTTGTGCACAACCACAGGCCCATTATTCATGTGTTTGTATTGCAGCTGGAGATGCCAAAGCCAGATGACGGAGTCATCAAGGAGAATCCCAATCAAACTGGCGTAAGTGGACGTCTTTCCACTTTTTTCCTTCCATTTGGATTATTTTCTTCATTACGCTTCGCTGACTTCTCACTGGAACAGTTTGTTGTGATAGTCCAGATTATTAGTTTACTTTATTAATTAGTTTGCCCTCACTACACTTATAACGTAAATTCTCCAAACACAACCCCTAAAATGCAGAAGTCTTAAAGTGAAAATGGCTTGCACATGTGTTTGTCTACACCGGCACACGCTCGTGTCGGTGTCACGAATAGATTAACTGAAAAGGGCACATCGTGCTCCAAGTGGAAACGGTACACATGATGACATGTCCCACAATAAACCCATCTTCTGCTGATTCCCACCTCTTGTTAAAGCTTTAAACAAACTGCACCTTTCATTGCATCTTGCTTTATTGTTTTTTGTGACGTTCTTCAGTTTTTAAGAAATCACTGAAAGCTGAATTTTCTCCCAGGTCTTACTATTCTTATTGATTCACTGGACTAAGGTGTTGGTGGTGAAGCTTTCTTGTGTTTTCATCTCAAGTGTTTGGATATGATTCTTCTCACATTGGTTGGTGAACTAATCTGTGGTTCCTGCATGTGTGTCGATGTTTGTAGGAAAGCCTGCTGTCGACAGTGGTGTCCTGCAGTCAGGAAAGAAAAGGTCCCACAGAGAAGACGCCACCAAGTCCCGTTCACTCCGAGAGGGAAGCTGTGCTGGTCGGTGAGTCATCACTCTGCCTCTCGCTCTGTTGTAATCTTACTTATTGTTTTCCACATTTTACGTTGTAGACTCATTCTTAACAAAAACAAGTGACTTTATTAATTTAAATAAATTAAAGCGCCAACTGACACAGATGGATAAACATTTCATTTAATGCTTGATGAAAGCACCGTGGGCAAAATAAGTCATCTAAGTTTTCCTAGAAATGATAATAATGGGCTGAAGCATCTTTCTTTGGAAGTTTTTCTTGACACGTTCAAGCTAAACTCGGTCAAATGTTCAATTCTTTCACAACTTCTCAACGGTGCTGCTTTCATTCGCACTGAAACACGAACGCCGTCTTCCCCCTGAGATCACTTATTGCAGAGTTGTTGCAGCATCTTGAATAATATTTTAAAATGTCTGAACTGTGTCCAGATTTTCATTTTAAGACAGGAATGTGTTGCTGGACATTCAGCGTCCCTCGCAAAGGAATTTGATTACTCTGCTCCTGGTACTGGGTTGTTGTATTTAAAAAAATAATTAGGATCGAATTTGAATGAAAGACAAACGTGCAATGCTTTGTTACTTTTTGTAATTCGCATAGGTCTTAAAATTGAATCATAATAGTTATGTATTAAATTTAAATTAGTGGAGCTTAAAGAAACTGTTTCTGGATTATATTACTGAGGTGATTCTCACCGTGTTGTTTCTGTCACATGTGCTGATGCAAACTGTGACCAGATAGTTCAATCTTTCATTAAATCTGGAGGTTTTTGCCTCTTTTTATTAATCAAAATGTCATTTAGGTGCCGTTTGTTCCAACAAGCTGGTCTGAAACCTTTAGAGAGCAAATAGCTTCTGTCTGACGGCTCTGTTATAAAGTGTGATTTGTTTCGTGTCGGACTGAAAGTAATCCAGGTCAGAGTTGTAGCCGTCATTTGCTCTTTGTTCACCTGTCTCAACGACTAAGCTGAGCGATCAGAGTAAGAAAAATGTGTCACTCACATCTAAGTAGTCAGTTGATGGTTTTACATTTCTTATGTCTTTTTTACAGTCATAACGGATACCATGCAACAACTGAATGTTTCTTTATGTCTCAAGAACAGAATACCCAGAGCTAAAGGACTGATCATGAACAGCTCAGACACAATAGTACAAATTCAGTGCTTTTATTTACCGTGGGTTCAGGAAGTATCAGGAACAATAGAGAGCAAAGAGATGAGTCAGGTTCAAAGTTCTGTAATAAGGGGTTGATCAGAACTTTCAGGATCCTTACTAGTAGATGGTTGGTAGTTAGTTTGGTTCCAATATCCTGTACAGTAGAGCTGTAATTTCTAAGCCGGAGTCTGGCCTGGTCGGACCTGGATTAGGGTCGGGCCATAATAATGTGCAGGCCGGGCCGGTGTCGGGCTTTTGATTGCGTCAGCAGACGCGCACAGCTGACGATCCAATTATATGGCAACATGGCTTGCCATACAGTCACCAGACGCACACGGCCATTTGACCACATGCTGGCCAGCCTTGAGTTTTTAAAAAGTTCAGTTAAGCTACAAATGGGACTTTCAGGCAGCGATCCATCAAAGGGAAATGGAATTTTCAGCCGACAACACAAACAGGTGAGATCGCAAAATATCCGACATGTCAAAGCAGGGTCCATGTTTGAATAATGCAGAATGCAGGCAGAAGCAGGGATTTAATGTGCTTTGATGGCCATGAAAGGACAAACACCCCCTCAGCTCCGATCTTCTGCCCCCTTAGCCGTGCGCATCCGCCGACCTTTAATAACTATATGAGCAGTTAAAGCTTAATTTAAAATGTTGGGGGGGTTCTGGTTCAGACCTGTAATTACTGTTAATTTGTCAGGTCAGGTGGGGTTCAGAAATAATTGCTATGGGCTGGGGCTGGGGCAGGGTCAGGTCAGATTTTTTGAGCCCAAATGCAACTCTACTGTACACGAGGGGTCCGTATCCTAAAGCTCCACGATAAGTGAAAGTAGTAGTTTATTTTAATATATATA